CATTCTCAAGAAATAATGACAATAAACACAAAACTCCACAAACAAGACAATTTCAGACAGGGTTACAAACTGAAGAAAATTTGCAGGGCCCTGGGTCAAGGAAGGTCCCCCTACAGGGCGACATTTGGGCTGAGACCCAAGAAACAAGCAGAAGCAAACCAAGTGGACGAATTCCCCAGAAAAGGGAAATCAAAGGTCTGACAGCAAAAGTAAGTTTGGTCTTTGCAACCAACAGAAGTGGCTGAAAGAACAAGAGCAGGTGAGATTAGAGAGGAAGCTCAGGGACAGATTACTGAATTGGGGTAAATCAGACGGGGAACGTGGGGAGGGGAATGCAGGGAGAATGGTTTAGAGATTTGTTTTGTGGCACCATATGGAGGGGCTCCCACCACCAGCAGCTGGGGAATAAGGCCCTGGGCCCCATGCAGCACTTGTCCAGTACACGGTGCTGCTGAGACACCTTCCAGTCTTGGATCTCTGACTTGTGTGGGCCAGGGTACCCCAGGGTTCCAACTGATCCCCTCTAGGGACTGGCCCCCTCCCCAGGGCAGCACTCGGGCTCAGGTACAGATGCCTCACTGGGGACTCCCCCCACTGCCAGAACCCTGTCCAGCCTCTGCCCTGCTCCTCCCCACTGAGCCTGAGCAAGTCTCTACCCCACACACCCCCACTGCCACCCACCACTCCCAGCCAGAGTCCTCAGTTCTGCAGCTGGTGTCTGTACTCATGCCTACAGCTCTGTAACAAATTGCCACATAGTTGTTTAAAACAACAGTTACTTTCTTGTAGTTCTGGAGGTCAGCAGTCCAAAATGCACCCTACAGTGCTAAACTCAAGGTGACCGCAGGGCTGCCTTCCTGCTGGAGGCCCCAGGGAGAATCTCTTTCTTGCCTCTTCCATCTGCTACAGGCTGCCCACACTGTCACTCGGTGCTGGCTCCCTGGCAGTGAGAGACAGGGAACCGGGCACTAAAGCAGCGCCACTGTGTGCTGTGCCTCCCTGGGCATGTGGGCAGGGCCCCACGCAGAAACTACTTCTGGGGAAGGAATGAGTCATTACTGAAAAGTAGGAGTAACCCAAGGGCCCATGTGGATGGCCCTGTCCTGTCAGAACTGGGCGTGCTGGTGGCAGGCTGTCCTGGGAATGCCCAGCTAGACTCTTGCTGTTGCCTCTGGGTGGGGAGCCGTGCGTCCCCCAGATGTAGGCTGTGCCTCTCCTCCCACCCTGTGGGTTGGCACACAGGTGATGCCGCTCGCCAGGGAAAAGGCACAACGACATCACATTAAGTTCAGGACCACCAGCCCAGCGTGCCACCAGCACAGCTCGGCCTGCTCACCAGCTCCGCGGCGCCCCTTGCTCTCCATGTCCACCACTGCTAGTGTTCTATGTTTCTCTCAACCCTTCTGCCCACGGCACCCCCACCTTCCACATCCCTTCATCAAGAATCCCAAAAGGGAACTTGCCTCCTGCTCAGGTTATGGATAATTTTTTCAATAATGACACATTTCAATCATAAGGAAAATAATGTTAGACTAGAGTCCCAAGGGACGGCAGGGAGGTGAGGGAAGAACACATTCTTGCAACTTAGATTCCTTATTTTTTTAAAAAGAAGGTTGTCAATGAGAAAATGGGACTCCTCTGAGCCACTCAAATGTTAACATCTGTGCACATGTGAAGGGAGACAGACTCCTAACCTGCTTCCCTTGCATCTGTAAAATGGCTTTGAGTGTAGAGTGTGTCTAAGTGCTAGCCCCACCCCTAGGGATGGCACCAAGGATTAACCTGTACAGTCCCATCTTCCCTGGTAGTATGGCAGTGCCCTGCCACAGTATGGTATGTGTCACTCTGAGCCTTCCCAGTGAGGTGTGCAGGAGTCTCACTGAACTGGGCAGAACCAGGGGTATGGCTTGGACAAGCACCAATGCCACCTCTTCCAGGAGGAGCCACCAAGAACTTGTGTGGCTGGCACACGCCTGGGGGCACAGGTAAGGGCCCAGGATGCACTGACCATGGGTGATGCCCATGCCAGGCCCTGGTCTCCCGGCCCTGGGCTGTCTTCTTCGGATGAAGGTCCTGGAGAAAGGCCACTGTTAAAGGCAGTGCACACCCTCTGGCTCCCAGCAGGCCTTGGGTCCCCGCAATCACGAGTAGAGACCAACAAGGTCTGCAAGGTAAGAATATACAGAGGAGAGAAATGCCACAAGCTCCCGAGGGGGGAGTTACATGTGGGCTGCAATGGAGAGGGGCTCAGGGGGGCGTACATGGAGAGAGTGAACAGTGCTCAGGAGATTATGAGAAGAATGTACAGAAGCTTGCACACAGAGCACACACACACAGGCCAGCGAGGGGAGAGGCAGTGCTGGCATGTGGGAGAGGCCACACAGGGACTCGTGTGCAGACAGATTCACAAGGGGAGCTGCACATGTGCTCACATGGGGAGCTGCACATGGATCCTGAAGACCTACGGTGCCTTCAGCCAACACCCCCATTAACAGAGAAGATGGCTCGGAAGATCAAAGGCTACTCCCAGCCCACCCTGCCAGTTCTGGGTTTTTTAGCTGTCTGAAACTTTAAAAGATACTAAAGCAAAAATTCTCTCCAGACATTTCCAACTTTGCGTACAAGCAGGACAAGGAACACTGAGGCCAAATTTTGAAACTTTGGGGATATTTCTCCAAAGGCTGCCATGAGCTGAAGAAGGTCTACTTACTACAGGTTGTGATTTTAGAAGAATCCACTCAGAAGCGAGGGCTGCACCTTCCCCAGGCTGGGCCCTCCTCCCTAAGCACCGTCCCCTTTCTCCCCCAGGATGCAGGCCCTGCTCATGTCCCTTCTGTTAGGAGCCTGGCCCAGGCCCCACCCATGGGGGAGCCCCTCACTCTCAGCCCCTCTCCTCCTTAAGTTTTCTTATTGGCACTTATGCTGAGAGTTATTTTATTGCTCGTGTTTTGCTCCTGTACTGTCCCTCCCCTCTGGGCTGTTCACAGCTCTGCTCTAGTACCTGGAAGTACCCGGAACAGAGCTGACATATAATATCTGCTCAGCCAACATAGCTGGGATGAATAAGGATAAACAAACTATATGTCTAAATGAATATATCATTCCATTTCCAAGAGGAGGATATATGATGTTATATTAAAAACATATATTCTCTGGCAGGTACCCAGAAAACAATGACCACATGTCCCTATAACTGTGTTACTCCTGAAACAGTAATAGGAGAATGAGCACATGAGTGCTGAGTGATTGAGGAAGTGGGAACATGCATTAATTTCTGTTTGCAGCCTTGCCGCAGGTGAGGCATTTTGCAGGGAGTTGGGCTTCCCAGAGGGCACCAGCCCTATCATGGGGGCAGGGGAGCCACACTACATAAATGTCTCATCCCTGACGATGAGGGCTCCACAGGACAGTTGCGTAGTGTAAGTGAGCAATTGTAATTTTTCATGCAGTTCCCAAGACTCCTGCCTAGGGCGTATTTGTAAATGATTCAAAAGTGATGGAAAATGACAGCATAGTCTTTCATTCTCCTGACAACCTGTCATAAAAACAAATGTCACCGGTTACGATGGGCTCTGCGATCACTCTGTGCTTGGATGGTTGTGTCCATACCGAGCAATCTGGGATACCTCAATAACATAGGTAATTCCAGGGAGCCTGCCTTCATTGTAAGCTTCAGTAACATCCCATGGCGGGACTTCAGCAAACTTTCACAGGGCTGCAGGGTTCCTGCAGGGGTGCCCACATGGGTGATAACAAGCCTCAAGGAAGAAGTCACAGTCAGCTCAGCCTCGGAGGACACGCCTGACAGACGCTGCTCAGGTAAGCCTGAGTGAAAAGTATGAAGTGGGTTATCTGGGCAGGTCCCAGTCATTACCCATGATGGAAGATACATGTTTAACACAAGCCATTTTGTCAAATTGGCCACTATGGCCATCTGGAAACCACTGCCCTTGAACACCCAGTAAGCAGCATGATCCTTTTTAAGAATTTTAAATCATGTTGAAGGATAATAAGTAAGCATCCAAATGCCCAATATTCATGAAAGCAGAATTTCAGTCGTTTTCATTAGACCTAGAAGTCGAGAGAGGAAATTCCAAACCTCCATGCCGCCATGCAGTGGTCAGCCTTTGTCTGAGTATGGGTCCTTGTGCCCCTCCGCCTCCCCACCACCCACACACACACCATCTGCCCTCTAAAGAGCTCTAGTGACGACAGCCTCTTTAATAATACAGCCTGGAGGAAAGGGCTAGAAATTACCCCGTTATTGTGCCTGAACCTAAGTGACAGGAGAAAATATTTCCCAGCCTCACATCCTTGAGATGCTGAAACTTGATTTGCAGTTTGTTTGGTGTGGAATGCAAGTGTGCAGCGGACGGCATTGCAGCAAGGCCGGTGCTGCCACTACGCAAAACCATGAACAGCTCACTTATCTGAGGTGATCTGAATGCAAAACAAAAGATACCTTGGAAATGACTGTCTGGCTAACAAAACTGCATTCCTGAGTGGCTAGACCTGAGTTTAATGAAATGATGTGAACGTCTGCTTGAAGTACCTAAGGTTTGGGATGTGCTCCCTCATTCTCTTTGGAATAGTTTGGAATAGCATCATTCATCAATACAAGTTCTCAAGGAGGTTGTGTGGTGTGTATGTGTGCGTGTGTGTGTGTGTGCATGTGTGTATGTGTACAACAATAGAAAATACCTACACCACCATACACAATGCCAGGAACTGCATTTCTCTGGAAAGAAGTAAGTTTTAGCATCTGCCATGGAGGATGCGGATGTAAGCATCAGAAGGAGGAGGCTGCTTTGGGGGTTACGATGGTCATGATTCTGTGATGATCACTTCCTCCCCACCCCCGCCAGCCTCTGCATGCAGAGCTATCTAATGGAGGTCCACAGAGAATAACCTGGAAGCTAGGAGGCCACAGAGACCTTCAACACACAGGTACTAAGACAGAAAAACAAACTTAACAAATGCAAAATGGGAAATTGAATTACCTTTAAAAGGGTTATGAAACCAGCCAGAAATGCGAAGGAAATTCTTACAAGCTTACTGCTGGCTGTCTTTGCTTATAGAATTTTAATTCCAAGTGGTGTTGATGGGCACTCTCTCCAAATCCTTCAAATCGCACTGACTCCTGACACATAGGAACAAGGGTTCAAAGAAGATTCAATATGCAGTTCTCATGTAAGGTGGGAGAAAATTTCAGGGAAGACAACAGTTAAACTGAGAGAAATGACAGCTTAAATTTGAATTTGGAAAGCACCTTGCAAATTGTTTGCACAGATGTGACATTATTTACATGGTAATTTCATGCTTCTCAGCACACAGAGGAAAATAAAACTTGTTAGATGACATAATGGGACTATTAATTCTATTAATGGATCAAGGGTTGCTTCTAGAAGTTTTCTTTTGCTTCATCATCTTGATATAAATGGCAGTATTGCTACATCCACATTTCACCACTTACTGAGATGGGAAAGAAAGAAAGCAAGTTTGCTGGCTTGCCTATAAAAATAATGTTTACTAGTGTCAAAAATATTTGAGACATTTAGGTTCACTTATTTGGAATGACCTCTTTGACAAAGTTTTTAAAAATACTTTAGGACTAAATAGTTTTCCACTCACTGAAAGAGCAGAATGAAAAGCTTTGTCTACAACACTGGTCTCAGATAGGACTAAAGAAATCAGCATGTATCAGCCATGAAACCACTGAAGCTTCTTCCACTGGACATTGCTGCTGTTTGCTCAAACTCAGCTGAATCAGCTCCATTTCAGGGGCAATGCTCTGGAAGCACAAAATGATAGATCACAGTCGTGGTGTGTTCCATTTCGAAAGCATGGGAGGGATTCTCTCCCCTGTGCACTCACATTTCATCACTTACTTGCAATTTCTGTAGAGTACTATCCAAACTGGGACAGATGGGGAAGCCAGGGGCAGATTCAGAATCAAGAGACTCACCCTTCACCCTGAGAAATATTACATGTTGTCAGTCTGCAAATAGAATTATAGTTCCGCTAACACAGGCGGTGATGCCTCCCGCCTGGGCGAACTGAAAGTGGACGCCTTTGAAGAACGGCTCCAGGCGCACCAACACCTCTCCGCTCCAGCCTTCTCTGTCTTTCCCTGTTGTCTTCATTTTCATTTACAGCCACGCAGTATGCTGCCTTCAACCCCAGGCACACTCCGTCACCATCACGGGTGGGCACGTGTGCATGCTGTCCTTGTCATCACGGAGCTACGCAGGGGAAAGAAATTACTTACTGATTTTCCTGTCTGTGGAATGGGGTCTCGGAGTGGCTCCTTGAGCTGGGGCAGCAGTGCACACAGCCCCACCAGTGGGAACCTCGTTATGCCAAGGAGGCTGTCCGGCTCATCGCTCACCTTGTCAGCCCTTCTTGGCGGTTGCCCCTCCCAAGATCTCCAGCTCCTAGCTCTTTTGATAAGATGAAGAAAAAAATAGATTCTTCAGAAGTTGAAAGAATGAACCAAAAATGGTATTCTGCCAGCTGAGTCGTTGAAACACCCTGGTGTGAGCTTCATTTCACTCCTTTATTCTAAAGAAGCTTTGGGTGGCTCATCCTGGAAGGAAGATGCAGCCTGGACGTGCAGAGAAAGCAGAGATGGACAAAGGGGTGGAGATGGGTCAGGATGAGGCCCTTGGAGTGGGCATGCCCCGCCTGCCATAGTAGGGTATAAAACTGGGGGCATGGGGCAGAACTGTAAGAGGAAGAGTCCTTCATAGTATGGGGGGAAGTTTGCACTTTACCCAGGGATTGGCAAACTGTGGCCCATGTGCCAAATCTGGCCCCCCACCTATTTTTGTAAATACACTTCCATTGGATCAGAGCGCTGTACCCGAGGCCAAAGTGGATCAGGCGACGTGTGTCTGTAGGGTGAAAACTGTACAGACAACAGCTCACACCCAACCAGCCCAGGGGGCCCAGGCACTCTCCGCCTTTGCGCCCCTTGGGCTCTGCACCAGCGCTCCTGCTAGGGCCCCCCCTGGCCCTGGGAGCCAAGGTACCCTTCTTACCTCTCTGACAAACCCTTTTCTTGCTGCTGAGACTCCCCCTTGAACCTGGCTTCCTGCCATCAGCTTAGAGCGCACCGGACGGTAGGGAGGGTCAGTTCGCAATACTGACTTTTTTAAATGATTGTAATAAAAGCCACTTTAAACCTCTTTTTCAAAACCAGACTTTAAATCTGTTCAAATGGTCTGCTGTATGTAAGAGATATAATAATCTTTGAAGAAGATAACGATTTTCAAAAGTCAGCTTTCTGACTACCCTGTGCTTCTATATTAAGCTCTTGCTGTGGCTTTTTGGGAAGTAAATAAGCATCTGATGCAATCAGGTTATGCTTAGTTCCAGTTAAAAAAAAAAAGAAACAGCTAAGGAGATGCTAGAAGCTGGAATGAGCCATGAGTTCTTCAAAACACAAAATAAAATAAAGAGGTAGACTCAGAAAACTCAGAAACTCTCTAAGGACTTTACATATGTCCAGGCAAAGTGTACTATGAATTAATTTTATTTATCTTCTGGGTTTTGCTACTTGGAAAACCCAAACCTGTTGATGCAGATGAGATGTGTCCTGAGCAAACACTTTGACACCAGCCTTGGCCAGCCTGAGGCCGTAACAGTCTGAAATGCAGATCTGCCAAGAGCTCCCATAGGGCTCTTACTGAAAGATATTTATGGTGAATTGCAAAAGAGCATTTTAATCACAGTCTCTATAAAACACATTGAAAACAAGGAAAAAGGCACCAAATTGCATCTTAGACTTTGATCTTACAAAACTAAAGCAATTACACATTATACAGAATAATCTTAAATTCAAACTTAAAAAGTAAGATTGGCCTTTATAAAATAATGACCTGCTGATCTCTTGTCCTACTTGCCATATGGTGATTCTTATGGCTAGTCGATAGATGCTAATACTGCCTCCTGGTGGTAATGTATCTTAATTACAGGAACAATTTTTTGAAAAATTGTTCTATTTTGAAAGCTGAAACATGAAGCAATAACAAACATGGTAGCATTAAGCAGTAGAGATTTGACATCTGTGGTGGAAGAGCTGTGACCAAATTCCCATCACCACCCTTTGAGAGAGACTGAGAGCTCAGTGTTGAACTAAGGAACAAAATTACCACCTAGAAACTGTGGCTTTATTCACATACAAATTGAGACTGCTCACACCAAGCTACAGAATGGCTTTGGAAAACCAACACGTGGTGTAATCAGATGCTGTTAATTCAACATACATGGCTTTCCTTTACCTAGAATGATAATATCACACTTTTTGGACAGTTTGGCATCCAACTTGGACTGGAAACCACACCCATGTGAGTTTTCTGAAATTGATCTACCTGACTGGCCTATCTTTCCCCTCTCATTCCTGGGTTTTTCCACCCTGACAATGTTGATCATGCAAAATGACCAGCATGCTCATGCCAAATGTCCAGCTCAACTCTATTTTGTGTACTTCATTCACATCCTGCCTTCTTCATAATAACTCTTTCTCTCTCAAAACTAACATGAGTTCTCCTACTAGGTTGGCAAGAATGAAAAGATAGCCTTGTCTACAGTAGTCACCTCCTCCCCTATGCTTGTATGACACCACACCACTGACTTCCTTCACTCCACTTATCCCAAGCTTATGGGCATCTTACCAAGCCATGTGTTCGTTGATTTGTTGTGTGCCTCTCCCAGTAGGATGGATACCTCCTGAGGGCAGGGACCTTGCCTGCTCTGTTCACTACTGTATACCTGGCTCCTTGCAGTGTCTTGCACATGGTAGATCCTGAATAAATACTTGCTGAATGAATGAACATTCAGTGTTAATGAAAGTATGACTGACTCCCTTGGTGAGGTCATACAAAGTATTTAGAAGAAAATTTAGTAATACAAGTAAAAATTCCTCATGCAAAATAGTCCTGAAATATAAGAAATAACCCAAGTGTATCTCAAGAGGATGGAAATAAATAATGTGTATTCTACAATAATATGCTCTGCAGCCATCAAAAATGATACTGTTCATCTGTAGTTACTGGCATGAAAAAAGTACATAACATATATTATGTGCATTATACAAAAATATGCTACAGTGCCATCAAAATTTAGATGTTCATTTATATTTACAGACATGAAAAATGTTCTAGACACATATTTAAACTAAAAAAGTGCAATTCACAACAGTGTGTGTGATGGTTAATTTTATGTGTCATTTGATGGGGCCATTGGGTGCCTACATATTTGGTCAAACATTATTCTCTGTGTTTCTGTGAGGGTGGTTTCTTGTTTTTTGTTTTTGGATGAGAATAACATTTAAAGTAATAGACTGAGTAAAGCAGATTGCTCTCTTTAATGTGGGTGATCCTCTCCAATCAGTTGAAGACCTGAAGGGTACAGAAAGCCTGGCCCACCCCTAGTAAGAGGGAATTCTTCCTGACTGCCTTCACACGGAAACACCAGCTTTTTTCCTACCTTGAGACTCAAACTGAAACATCAGCTCTTCCTGGGTCTTGAGCCTACCTGCCTTCAGATGTAACTATGCCATTGACTCTCATTCCCAGGTGTTGGGACTCACACTGGATCTCCACCATCAGCTCCTGGTTCTCCAGCTCTCCTATCCATTCCGCCAATCTTAGGATTTGCCAAAGTTCATAACCATGTGAGCCAATTCCTTAGAAAAAAATCTACAACATTTCTCTCTCTGTATAAGATCTCTATAACTACTGCCATAATTACTATTTGCACAATGATGTAGGTCTACATTTATAAAGATACATAAATAAGATAGACGACACAGGATACACACTATTGGTTTTGTTTCTGTAGAGAACCCAAACTAACACAGAATGTATACACAGTAAGATCTCATTTTGTCAAAGTGTTACAACTATGCAGATTCAGTGTGGTGGATTGATTTTAGTATGTCCCTAATTTGTTCATGTCTCCCTGTATTCATGTCTTTCAATAGTCCCTTTCAAACTGACTCTAGGCTTAGCTATCTAATTTGATTTTTACCCATGAGACAATGTATATAAGCAAAGACTTGAACAGTATTTGCATACTAGACCTTGCTTTTCTGCAGCTCTTGAAACCTGATACTGCCCTGTGAACAGCCCAAGGTAGGCTGTTGGAGCAGGAGAGGCCCAGGTCTCTCACCTGTGCTGGTCAAGGCCAATCCACCAGCTGACTGTGAGGTCACCTGAGACTTGCCTGTGTCAGAGCTGCCAGCTGAGCCCAGCCCAGATTGCCAAACTGAAGAATCATGAGCTACATAAATAGATGGTGTCTCAAGCTACTAAGTTTTGGGAGAGTTTCTTATGAAGCAAGCAATAGCTAATACATTGTAATAGAACAAAAAACCTAAAAGTTTATATCCTAAATTGTCGATAACAGTAATTTCTACTGTTAGATTATAGATGGCCCTCATCTTTACATAGTTTGTAATGAGCATGTATTATGTCTACACACTAAAAGATAAAAACACATTTTCAGTTTGAAGAATTGTTTAAAAGTGATCTCTCTCTTCTCAGATTCCCTGCCATAATTACTATTTGCATAGCCAATGCTGTGATTAATCATGAAGTGTTTTGATATCCTGAATTGATATTTAAGGCTTTCATTGGTATTTGACTATGGGAGTAGAACATACAGTGGTGTATAATTGTGTGTGTAACTTCCATAGTTATTAGGCCTCTAACTGGTATACTGCTTGCTTTGAAATCACTCTTTTATATTAACAGGTAAGGCAGAATAAGGAACAGAATACCTACAAGAAAAGGAGTCCAAAATTAGTCCAAAATTAGTGAGTTGCCTGAAAACCAAAACCGAAGCATTTGGTGGCATTTGCATCCACCTAAGTCCTGTGCTAACAGGAGTTCCTTTGGTTACACCACAATTCCTTGCCTCGACTTCCAATTTCAAGCTTAACTCCAATTGGTTAAAATAACATATCACGTACAAACCAGTAAACTAAACAAATCTTGAAAATTTTGAACAAAATTTAAATTTATGTTAGAGAGGTAATGTGGAAGATAATATTTTTTAAAACTAGTAAAATAAATTACATGGAAAATATTGTATAAGCCAAAAGTGTTCAAATGTGAAAGAGATGATTGTCAATGAACTTCCTATAATTTCATTTTTAGACATTAGGGC